CTCTACAAAGAAAAAATGCTGCCGCAGTCAATACCAATTGGCTTTCACCATACATGACTAACTGTTTAAGCAATGAACAGGGAAGGGTGTTTCTTTGTTTATTTTATATTTATGTAACACACTTGATAACTTTATGGTACATAGTGGAGGATAGAAAATGTGAATGAACGTTTGAAAGACTGTTTCAAGACTTCAAGCGTTAAAACAGGTTTAAAAATAGCTGTTTACATGGATTCTTGGGAGTGGACAAAGATAAACAAGTTTTAGCCATTATATCAGTTATTGGTATTAGCCTTCCACTCCCGATATTGGTCGGGCTCTAGTCTATAGGAATAACTGTATAGCAGTTAGAGAAAGAAACATTATTATTCATTAAATCTTTAAATCATTCAAAAGTTTTTTTGGCTTTGTTTAGGTTTCCACCGATAGTGAGGTTTTTCTCTCTGCCCAACATATAGTTACTGAGTTTAACTGCTAGTTAACACAAAGATAAAATGTACAAAACTGAGGGGATGTTTTCTTCTTCTAAGAAACAGAATGATTTTAATTAAAGGTTTAATATTCACTCTCAGAGAAGACGCTTTGGTTTGACCTGTCTATTTCCAGACTGGAGTCTGTGATCGTAATCAGAGCCTCGGAGTGTCCTGAACACATGAAACAGGAAATGCGCTTCCAGACTCAATCAGCAAAAGGTGGAAGTTATCAGTGCCTCACAGGAGGGCAGGAATGTGGAGATAAGCAAAGGCTCCCCACCTCCTCTTCATCACCGTGATTGAAATGAAGACAACTGAGCCAAGGAACAACAGTAACGATAAAGGATGCTTCTATGCTGTTAAATAAAGGGGTTGATTTTGAAATGTGACAGATGAAAAACTGCACCCTGATAATTCCACGCCCCATTCACTCAAGGATTTATGAAGGACCTGATTTATACATGCAAGCCTCTGTTTAACAGGAGCTATAACCATGACAACTCAAACAGAAGGTGCTAGCTGGGAAATCTTAGCTTGACCACCCATCAAATCAATCAAACCAACGCCCAAAGCACACATCAAATCAGTTATTATGTTATACACAAGATCTACAAAAATGTAAAGTTTAAAAATAGAACAAGTAATAAAATACATAAAAAAATCACAACTTTCACTAATGATGTTTATATCTACACACAACAAAATGTACTTTCAGAGCTGTTCCATTTTTTTTACTTCAGAAAACATTCTCACAGTATTACTTCCCATTTTCTTAGCGCTCTTACCGTTTATAAAACATTAAGTAATTGTGCTGTTTTTTAGTGGTTGTGAACTGCTCTTTGAATAATGTAGTTTGTGATATAGTTGCCACAACACTGATGACTTTAAAGCCAGCTGTTTTTGAAAAACAGTAGGGAAAAAACAACTAAATAGTAGCGCTGCACACAATTTGAACAACGTGCACTGTGGGATATTATAGTTTAATATTGCAATGGTAATATCAACAGTGAAACACACAGTTTCCTCACTCCCCACTTTCTTGTCAAGATGAGTCTGTTGAATTTATTACTATGCAGAAAATGAATTCATAGTACTCAAATTATAAAAGACTATGATTCATTACAGTCCTTTGCGTTACTGACACTGCACTTACTGATATTACAATGACAATAAATGTGTGATATATATATATATTGTGGGGAACTTCTAAAATTGGTCAAATTTACAAAAAAAAGCAAATCAATCAGAAAGAACGCATCTAATGAATCAAACTTTAATTTGTCAGAAAAGGCAATAATTTTGTGTATTATGAGAGATGCTTTTGAATGACAATATTATGTGCCACTTCCATGTACATTTACACTGGTTATAGTTCTGAGAAATTCAGGCAGCAATATCCAAAAAGCACAAATGTTAGCCTATCTTAGTGGGATTTGTCTGGTTAAATAAAGGTTAATAAAATGACATAAATCAATATTCACAAAACTACAAGTGTATTAAATAAATCAGCTTGTAATTACAGTAGCAGCACAGGACAGCCAGCCACAATTACTGAAACTCTTTAGTTACCAAGCATTGTTTTTTTTACCATCCTTGTCTACACTTTAAGATTATTAATCAGCCCGGGGACACAGATGAAAACCACCTTCTTTAATCATTTCCCAAAAATAAAATAACTGACTTGTTCAAGCATAAAATTATAGACTAAAACGTTCAGTTTCTCCATGTGTCATCACATCACATTCCAAAATGTAACCTTGTTAGTGCATCTGTTGTCACCAACAAATGGATAAGCCCTTCATTCCAGACAGTTTCTATAAATACACATAACTACAACGCTGCAGTCTGTCAAATTTAACTGAAGCAAGCAAAATATCAGATCTGTTTGCCCTTGAAAAGCCACAATGACTCCGATGCCCACGACCACTTAGGGTTTTATGATTTACAGGCCATCATGTATGGCTGCCCATATATATTCCCTTCCTTGCATGTGACATGTTTGCAGGAATCATTTCCTAAACCGGTCCGCAATCCCATTTATTTAAAGAGAGAGGGTCAATTTAATCATAAAAATGAAACATCTAATTAGTGCCACAAATATCATCCGTCATGTGCCTCTCTTTCCTCAGTTGACACATCTATTAACCATGTGCAGCTGCTGCTCCATGCAGTGTTACAAGCATGATGACACATTTTAGTCACAGTCCTGAGGTAGTCAGAGTGGAGACGGAGCTATAATGAATCATCTAACTTCTACCAATCATGTTTCAGTGCAACGCCACTTCATCTTTATCTTCTTCTTTCTATATGTAATAAAAAAGGTCAGAAAAAAGGTCAGAAACAATCCATTTGTTTGATTACATTCTGCATGGCTTCCTCAACATATAAAAATGGGAATACAACAACAACAACAACAACAACAACAACAACAACAACAACAACAACGCGTAAATTAGGTAAACACTCCTTGTTAAAGCTGTGTCAAGTAACACTTTACGATGGAACCAGTAGGCAAACATACAAGGACTTCTGTCCAATAAAAGTGTAAAAATGATTAATTTTTGTTGTTTATATGGTTTATCAATCAGTCACCAAAATAGCCACACAGGTCTGCTTTTAATTTTTTTCATTTATGTCAAAACTAGGGGTGCATTGATAAATCGGACGGACGATTTATCAGCCCCGATTTCCTTAATTTTGGGAAATTGGAAGTCGACCGATACTTGCATGAGAAACCAATTCTACCCATTTTTTTTGTTTGTTTGTTTTAACAATTGTCTAGACTTCATTTATATTTCAGAGCACTACCTCGTGGCCAGTTAAAATAAGTTTGTATTGTTCAAGGGTATGTTTTTCAACAAAATAAGATTAGAAAATTGAAGGTGCACTGTGACCTTATAAAATCTGACAGTGTTGCTTACAAAACAAAATCGGTATCGGCCAAAATCAGAATGGGCAGATCAGGTTTTTTAGAGATCGGTGATCGGCTATAAAAATGCACCTCTATTTAAAACCTTTGATTTTAAGGGGACCATCAGAAAAAATTTATCTTCAAGACTATATTGGTGGATTATCTTCAAAACAAAAGTCCAAATGCACTGATTTTTGTTTGTTTGTGTGATTCAATTTGTGTTTTTTTTTTTTTTTTTAAATGTGCACACAGATCACAACGAAAATAAACAGGAAATGTAAAAATCAAAATTCATTGTTACTTATGTTTCCTGTATTGTGGCAATAAAATGTATGCTGGTTGAGAGAACGAGGACCAAAAGGCCTCTACTGTCTTTAAGAAAACATCTCTGGAAAAAAACAAGTTCTTATAGTACAAAGTAATTGTATTATTTGTATCTATACATTGTTGTTTAGAATATACATAGACACTGTTTTTTTTTTACTATTTAAGAAACACTCTTCTTAATTAAACCTATTAATGTTTATCATCATATATATATAATGTTTTTAATAATGTTTGTGTATTCCTATAACTTACATTTAGCATTGCCTAAATGCAAACTGCAAAGCCAGCGTATAGTCATATTAGTGTAAAAGTAAACATTTCCTATTCATCTTTAAGAAGACTGATACAGAATAAGAATAAAATAAAAACAATTATATTTCTGATTTAGATTATTATAGTAGTTAAACATATATATTAAAATGTTTTCACCGTTGTCATAGTAAAGTAGTTATAACTAAATAACAGCACATGTACAAATACAGCATGAATAAAGAGCCGTGTCAGCATATTACAGGTGATGACAGGTGTCTTTAAATGTATTCACTATAGAAACCTAAAACAACAAGGCACTAAAGTTTATCCAAAGTGTTGCAGAAGCTCACATATCAGGTACCCCACAAAAACCTATGACAGTGCATTATTGTGATAGCAAGCATGCCAGTGTTACCATATGTTAAACGGTCCAAACAATGGGCTATTGGCCACTTTTCTCCTGGTATTATTAATAAATACCACTTTATTGACAGAACATTCAGAGCCACTGCATGACCTTCTATTATGTAGACAATATTTCCAGCAGCTGACTTCATGTTACCACTCCCTCCTTTCCTCTCGCAGCCTGACTCTTCAATAAACCTAACGTATATAAAAATAAAAATCTCCTTTTATACCCACTTGGGTAAATCAAGCCCCTAAGCTGGCCGACATTTTGTTCCAGAAGCTAGGCTAGCTCCCTCTCGTTACCTGGACGCAGTTAAACAAGCCGCCCGAGCGATGACAACAGGGACGATGGGCATTTCATGACTCAACACAACCCCCCCATGAAAACTCGACAGAAAAAACACGGCAGTGGGGATTGTCATTTGTGATTTCAATAGGGGAGGGTAACATGTTGGGCAGCTAGCTATCCACTGACTTAGCAGGTAGCTAAAAGGTACCTCGGCTTGGACCGTTATCGCTCGGTTCTACCCTCGGGGGGACACGTCCAGTTTGGTCCTCAAGCTAAACTGGAAAATATGCCTCCATATGTGGCCCAATCGTGGATAGGAATAAAAAGAAAACCCATTCACCTTCACAATAGCAATGGTCCTCGCGGCGTGCTTGTGAGATTCTTAACAGAGGAGTAAAGACCTCCGTGGCGGTGGCTCCAGAGCAGCAGCTGCCGCCGCACTGCAATGGCAGGCGGTTGGATGAAGCCTTCCTTCTCCCCCCTCTGCGCGCTCACTTCGCCTGCCTTCTCCTGCGCTGTCACACTGACTGGCTCGCTAGGAACAAACCATTCGGACACTTCCGCGGGGGGAGTCAGCGGGGGATGCGGGAGATTGTTCACAGCAGCAGCAGCAGCCGCAGCGGCAACAGTCATCCAGCAGCAAGCGCCATTTCAGCGTGAGAGGAAAACAGTCGACGAAGAGGTAGAAACACGTCCACGGAGTTTATTTCTGTACCCGCTGACCACACGGGCTCCCGCCATGAACACAGGAGTGGATCCGGCTGTCCGTTCTGTCACGGATTTTAAACAGTCGATCAGTTAAACGGACTGATACGTTCTTTATCAGCAGGGGCGATTCTAGAATGTGACCTTTGGGGGTGCTTAGCCCCCCATTGCTGGCGATGGCTCTTAGCTTGAACAACGCAGTGGCCATTAGTGTCAGAAGCATTTGTAATGTAGGGAGGGGGGCACACTTGGGGGGGGGGGGGGGGGTCTTGGGGTCCTCCTCCAGAAAAATTTGAATAAAGTAGATGCCATTTCCTGCATTCTGGTGTATTTTAACAGGTTGTTAAACATCTTCATTTACCTACATAAGTAAACACGAATCAATAACTATTTTAGAGAGCATGGCACAACAAGAAGTAGCCTGACCAACAGCTCTCCTTGTGTGAATAGAGTATGCTCCGCTTCTCTCACACATCCTAACACCCCCACCCCCCTCCACCCCCAGTCAACAACTGCCGGCAACTGTATTACGGCACACAATACAGACATGCTTGATAAGATGCTACAGACGTAACCCCCCCCAAAGAGGCTAAAAATGCCACTATGTATCAGCGCTGTAGTTATTTTAAATCACCTTCACAGTTCAGGCAAACTGTTTCCAAATTAAATCTACTCATTGCACACTAAAAAAAATAAAATAAAAAAAAATAAAGATTATCCTGAACTATATCAAATGGTGAAAGTTTGAAGAGTTTATTCTTGCAGTCTTGATGTATTCAGAAGCACCCTTAGAACTAGTTAATTCAACAAACATAAAGTGGTAAAGCCCTCACCTCCTCCATCCCTTCTTTGCATCTGTTTCTGAAAAAAATAATGCGTACAAACATGTTTTACATTGGTGTTGTTTTGAATGCACAAAATGTGTTGCGAAGAAGCCGATTTACATTTGAACCACAGCAAACTTAAACGTTTTTCCAGGCAAAGCTGAGGTGCATTACTCAAGTAATAATGACATGCTGCAGAAAGTAATTTAAAATGCAGAGGATGGAATTAAAATCCAGCCTACAGTCACAATGCTCGATACTCCTTCCCATGGGGCATGAATTTAATCAATATACAGTATAATGTAAATTGTGCACTGCACCAAACCCCACTCTAAAACTCTATCTCGGACACTTTAGTTGTTTTGTTTTTTTTGTGCTGACCTTTCTTGAACCACCTAATTCTCTGCAGCACATATTGTTGTGCATTTTATCACTTTGAAACTGTGTGACCATTCTTGTCACCTCTACCTGTGGCACTAATGAGCCTAGGAGAATGTAGAGCCTAAATGTAAAGCTGCAGGACACAGAGGTCCAGAAATGCTGCTGACGTTAGGAGATAGCTGCAGACTCCATTGGAGGATCCAGAGTAAACGGGGAAGGGGGGCATCTTGAATGTAAGATTGTGGGATGGCCAAGGTCAAGAGAATTAAATAAACAAGGGCAGTCACACATATCCTGGGGGGAACAACGTGTGACAAACAACAGTTGGAAAAGGGCGTGAATATAAAGAAAGCTGAAGAGGACAGTGAATGCAAACGTGACTCTCTCCAGACCTTTTGTATGTTAGCACAGCTTTTACCCTTGACCATAACGGATGACCAGATAAGGACTTTTTAACAAGTTATCAGCATGTGTCACAAAACTAACATCACAATACATCACAATATAATCACATTAGGTGTTTAAGCAAAAAATAATTAAAAGACTTTTTATTTTATGAAGGAATCAATACACATTGCCTACTGAAGTTTATGCCAGAGCATCTTATGAGAAATGATGCCATTGGATTCATTTTGGTCAAATCTTGTAAATGATGTTATGCACAATCTTGTGCAATTTTACAAGCCCTCACAAGGTCTGTTAGAGCTCAAAGTACTGAGGACGACTTTAGCTCAGTATCTGTAAAACTGACTGAGCTGAAGTCATTTTTACATTGGCTTAGGTTCATTAGCTATGGTGGCCATGTCAAATTGGGTTGACTTCAAAAAGTAATCAGTTGTGACCTTGAAGAGTTTGAATTAAATCTATTCCATGGTTCAAGAGATATTTTGTTAACAGAGTTGTTTCTGAACTCCAATGTAAAAATCACAAACTTAACAATTAAGCGTATGATCATTTAGCTTCTGAGTACAAGTTTGAGATTAATCTCAGAAATTAAAAACACCATTTTTTTTGCCTCAGTCTCAGTCAAATTGACTGAGTTATCATCATTTTTGTGTTTTTATAAGGTCGCTCAGCTGTGACAGCCATCTTGAATTGGCTTGACACCAAAAGTTCATCAATTGTTTTCAAGGTAGCAGCAGGTTAGGACCCAGAAATATAGACTAGATACAAGGAACTAAAAAAAAACCCCACTTATTTTATTATAAACAAACAAAAAAATGCTGTTGTGGCAGCAAAACCCACTTAAAAACACTTGAGAAGGAGCAGGAGGAAGCACAAGAAGAACCGGACTGAATATATACAACAGGGCTGATGAGAAAGTGACACTTCACCTGGGAACAGATTATAGTGAGCGTGGCTGACTGAGCGGAGCCAAAACTGACTGAGGAGGAGTAAATATTGTCAAAGAGGAAAACAGAAAGAACTGGTAAAATAAAATAAAAAAAACACAGAAACACAAACAACTAAACACAGATTCTGAAAGTTAGATGTACATCCAATGATGACTTTCTGAGGGTTTTATTAAAATCCGTTTTACTGACGTTTGTGGGATCATTTTCCAGCATGGTACACATTCACATGTACAAACAGGCTAAATCATTATTGCCTTTTCTGTGGAACAATTAAGTTATCATACAACTTAAACATAAACATAGTTTATATATATATATATATATATATATCTGCAGCAAATTGCAGATGCTTAATGCTAAAGTAACAGTTCAGCTCGTTTGAGGGGTTCTGTGGAACTATTATGAACAAGTAATATCTTACCTGTTGTGGATACACTTTGGACCGCCTCAGTTTGGAGAAGTGAAATTTATTTCTGACTCGGATTAAGACTGGTTTTATATTTCATAAACCTTTTCATTGTTGTGGGTGGCACAGTGGCACAGTTGGTAGAGTTGCCACCTTTCAGCGAGAAGGTCGCCAGATCGAATCTTGGCCAGGGGGCCCTTCGGGATGGAGTTTGCATGTTCTCTCCGTGCATGCGCAGGTTTTCTCCGGGTACTCCAGTTTCCTCCCACAGACCAAAAACATGCATGTTAGGCTGATTGGTAACTCTAAATTGTCCCTAGATGTGAGTGAGAGAGTGAATGGTTGTTTGTCTCATTTGTCTCTATGTGTCCCTGTGATGGACTGGAGACTTGTCCAGGGTGTCCCCTGCCTCTCGCCTAGGGATGTCTCGACATGGGCACCAGTGACCCCCCGTGACACAAAAGGAAGAAGTAGGTAAAGATAATGGATGGATGGATTTTCATTATTGTCTGTTTTGCATTATTATTCCGGCTGGACATGCCCCAAATTGTACCAGAAATGCTACAACTAGCTGCTGCTGTCATTAGCACAAGTTTATAACCCCAAAACTATATGCAAATAATTGTGTGTTGTGAATAGTGTTTATACAAACTGCTATGATATTTTTCACTTTGGTCTTCACCTTACTCAGATTAGCCAATCCTACATCAGTCTGGACAGAATTAAACTCTGAGCTCAATTTGAAGAACATTTCAAATCACTATGTACAACAACATCTTTCAGTCAGGTCATCTGGACAGTTTCTTTTTTTGTGCTGAAACGTTTCGCCTTCGATCCGGAAGGCGTCATCAGTCAAGGAAACGCACAACAAAACTGATTCTTCCCCCAACAGCTTACTCCAAAGTGGAACAAACCAGTTCTGCTTGTGATAAGATGGTCTCTTTGGTATGTACAACAGGTAAGATAGTAATTGTTTATAATCATTTCACAGAACTTTCTTCAAATGAACTGAACTAGTGCATCAGTGAAGCCCTTGAATGCCCTCTGTCACAGCACTGGGGGTGTCTGCATCACTGGGTCCAGTGACACAGAGGGAGTTTCACATGTGTAGAAAAAAAAGAACACAGCTTTTATCACCTCATGGAGCGCACACTGCCCCTGATGGTGAGCCGGTCTCCTCTCCACCAAACATTGTTGTGGTTGTTTATGAGCTATACTGAACAAAAATACAAACTCAACACTTTTGTTTTTGTTCCCATTTTTCATGAGCTGAACTCAAAGATCTAAGACTTGTTCCATGTACACAATACGCCTTTTTCTCTCAAATATTTTTCACAAATTTGTGTAAATCTGTGTTAAGCCGCTTTGCCTTTGATAAGTACAACTCCTCTCGGCTCTCTTCTTATCAGTTCTTCTCAGGTGGAGCTGATTTGCCACTGTGACTTGTTTCCTGCTCTGTGGGCGAGATCATATCCGGTCGTTGTGTTTGAGCCACTCCGCCCATTATGATCAGAGTCGAACGTTGGTGGACCAACGTTCCACAGTCAACAACCTGATCAACTCTATGTGAAGATGTGCTGTTCTGCATGAGACAAATGGTGGTCACACCAGATACTGACTGGTTTTCTGACCCCTCTGGACCCTACCAATACAGTAAAACTGCACATTTTAGAGTGACCTTTTATTGTGGCACACCTGTGCAGTAATCACGTTGTCTAATCAGCATCTTGATCAGCCACAGCTGTGATGTGGATGGATTATCTCGACAAAGGAGAAGTGCCCACTAACACAGATTTACACAAATTGGTGAACAATATTTGAGAGAAAAAATCTTTTGTGTTCATATAGAAAAGTTTTAGACCTTTGAGTTCAGCTCATGAAAAATGGGAGCAAAAACAAGTGTTGCG